CCAAGATCAATTAGTAACCAAACAAACCTTAACTAATAAGCTAAATCTAATATTTAGGAATCAAATAATATTTTGTATATATTATATATTATAGTTAATGATAGAAATAGACAAGTGATGACATAAATCTAGGCCAAAGAATATGATAATACTTAAATGCTAAAAAAAAACTAATATATTTATAATTAATTTGAGATTTCAATATTTTAAATTAAAATTATTTATTTTATATTTATTTATAAATGATTATAATTTAAATTTGATTTATTTTTTCTTATTATTATAATTTGAATATTAAATTATTTTTTAATGATTTAATATATATAATCATTAAAAATAAAATATGAAAACAATAAATTTAGTTTAAAAATATAAAATCTTAAATCAATTATAAATAGACTATTAGATTTATTTAAGTGATTTAAGTGTTGTCATATTCTCAATTGGCCTAGATTTAAGTTTTTGTTATCCCTTTTTATTTTTTATCATTAACTAATATATATAAAATTGATTCCTAAATATTAGATTTAGCTTATTGGTTAAGACTTGCTTGATTACTAATTCATTTTGGGTTCAAATCCAATTAAGTTATTTTAATTTTTTCTTCCTAAACTTGAACAAGTTATATAACATATGTTTATCTCAATAACAAGTGTGAGATTAGCTCAATGTTTAAGGCATGCCAAGGTTACCCTCGAGACTCAAGTTGGATTCCCTTGGGTGTCAAAACTATTCTTTATTTATTTTCACTTCAATTCAAAAGTTGACACGTGCCACCTTTTGATTAGATTGAAAATTTATTAAATTAAAATTAAAAAAAAAAAACCTTTAATCAGATTGTAACATGTGTCACAATTTGATTGAATAAATAAATTTATTAAATTAACTTGAAATTAGGACCTAATTAAGAATTAAAGTAATATTGGTGATCAAGTTGATTAATTTTAAAATCTAGCGGATTTAATCTATAATTTAATACATAACTAGAATAAAAGATTTTAAAATTAATACTCAAATTAGGACATTAGACAAATTAAAAACAGAATCAAGATCAAATTGCATTAAATGAAAATCCAAGGAAACAATTCATACACAAGTAGTGACCAAAATGAAAGAAACAAAGTAGGGTTCTGACGTCGTGAATACATAACTTTAAGAACTCGTGTCCTAATTATACCAATTTTGTTAACTTCCACGTAAACACTTACGTTAAGTTTTAATGACAGGTGGCTATATTGAAATCATTTAAATAGTCCAGTGGTCATATTGACGCAAATTTAAAAATAGTCGTCATTTGGCAACTCAGCCCATAGTTATGTGGTCATTTATGTAGTTTAGCCTAAAATTTTAAAGGTGAAGATATTATTAAAAAAATAAAAATACCTAATTATATGAAAATCTAACATTTCAGGGGCAACTCTCTCGCCAGCCCCCTCGGGTCCATCTTCGGTGGTATTGAGCTTTTATCGCACGACGATGTATAGAAAGTAGGGAAGGCTTATCCTCTAAAAACCGGTAGTCCCAACAGTCCAACCAAGCTAAAATAGTTAAAAGACAAACAACTCATTGCACTGGGAAAAAGCACTCTCTGAAAATAATCAAAGTTGATAAACTTCTACCAGAATTCAAAACTCAATGAACCAACTTGAATTTCAATGACATTATAACTGCATATATACTCTCATTCCGTCAACACAATCCTTCAAAAGCCGTACCTTTCGTTACGGTTAAGACGATCCGCAAGATAGAAAGCCACAGAAACCAACCACGAATCACTATGCACGCCAACGGAGGTCAACCAGTCTTTTCGGTCATTGCATCTCTAGCAAAATTGATGCCAACCACCGGCTTAGGCAGCTCGGGTGGAACTTCACCCACCGGCAGACTAACTTCCAGCTTCATTCGGATGTCCACAAAGGTATAAATTTCCTTTTCTAAACCAAACCCAAGGCAAAGAGTTTTTTCTTATATAAACCTTCTTGATCACAAAACAAAGGGGGAAAAGCTCTATACAGAAAATCAGAGAACTTGAATCTCCAGTAACTTCATTTGCTCTTAATTATGAATTCCATTCCCCTGTTTTATAAAAAGCAAGGAAATTAGTACAACCTTAATTGTCAAAATTTAGTCTCGTACTTTACAAAACCCTAGAGATCCAATTGTTGATAAACAATCTGATGGGAAGAAAGGTTTAACAGTGTTGTCAAAATTGGATTAACTTCTTAGTTCTTGTAAAATACAAATCAAATTCTAACAAATTAAACTAGATCACTAACTTCTCAGTCAAGGAAAGATGAAATTCATAATTAAACCGACTTTACTATTCCAATCTGATGTTTCAGAAACCCTTAGGTGGCGTTTGGTTGGATGGAATCCCTTGGAATTGGGGGGAATTGGAATCCAACTCTACCACTTTCTCATGTTTAGTTCAAGTTTTCCAAGGGAATTGGAATTCGTCATGGCTTTAACTTTCTATCAAATGAGGGAAATAGAATTCCATCCAACAATGGATGAAATTCAATTCCCTTGTCGAAGAGAAATGAAATTTGACCATACTACCCTCATCAATCTTTTAGTAACTTATTCATATATTGAATAAAAATAATTTTTTATTATTTCGGGTCGGTCGGATTTCTAATTCATATATTCGGGTCGGGTTAGGTTTTTTAAGTGTGATATTCAGGTCGGGTCAGATCGGATTTTTTTAAGTGTAATATTCGGGTTGGTTCGGGTTCAGGGTGAAAAAAACAGGACCGACCCGAAAAAATATATAATTTTACCTTATAATAATACCCCTCTATATATAATTTTTTTTCTTCAATTAAGTCAATGTTTTTATTGAATAAAAATAATTTTTTTATTATTTTGTGTCGGGTCGGGTTTCTAATTCATATATTGAATAAAAATAGTTTTTGGTATATTTTGGTAACTAATTAACATACTCCGATTGGAAAGTATCAAAATATCGCTCTATCTTTTTGTAACTTATTAACATATTTTGATTGCGATGATTTTAACTTATAATGTTTATTAGCATGATTTTTATAATTTATTGAAATGAATAATCAATCAATAAAATGAAAATTTAATATTTTTTAATTTTTTATAATATATTACTACATGTAAATTGTAAAACAAACTAAAATAAAGCAAAAAAACAAGAAGGGCAATTTTGTCATTTTATATTACTGAAATAAAATTCATCTGACATTTCTGCGAACCAAACAGAATATGAAATTAGATTTCAATTCCATTTCCTGCCAACCAAACTGAATATGAAATTGGATTCTAATTCCTGACAGATTCTAATTCTTTCACAGATTCCAATTCCCTCATATACATTCCAGCGAACCAAACGTCACCTTAGTATACTCGTATCATGTTTATCAGTCTATTTGAGGAAAGAGAATTTCAAAATTCAATAATCACATAAATCAAACAGTAAAACTAGGAAATTCAGGAAAACTCAACATGCAAATTTGAAGCGGAAATGAGGAAGAGGAGATCTGAATTACCTGGGTCGCAGAGTGCGTAAAATTGATCCACATCTGAGAGAAACAGGGAAAAGAAAAAGAAAGGCAGCGTTAAACGGAGAGAGAGAAGCATATGAAAGATTTACCAGAAGTCAAAGCACGAAGGATGGCGGTTCTTCGAGAAGAGTAATCTTTGAAGATTTCCTCCACGATTGGAGTCAATGATTTTTCTTCTTGTTGGAACGTTAATAGTCGTTAACGTTTGTTATTAGTCAGTTGAGTTTCTTCATAGGAAGCTAAAATGAGCTGTTAGTTGGCAGTTAGAATTTATGTTAATATTTTGGGCTTACAAACGTTACCTCGTTCGTAAAAAAGACTGTTGTTTTTTCTATAGATTTTAAATTCATATAATTGTATCAATAATATGTATTTTTTAAATTAATTATTAGTATCTGATCTATTGACCGACTAATCCAGATTAAGTACTGCAGAGGCGAATACGACATTTCTAACCCAATTTGCTCCATTCACAAACGGCAAGATTCGAACTCCTAACTTTACTTAAGAGACCTAGTGTCTCATCCTACTAGACCAACTGGTTGTTGGTATCAATAATATGTATTTAGTTATTGATTAAATTAATTTCTTTAGAAAATTGTAAAAGAATAACTTTAACATTCAAGATAATTATAAGAATGTATTTAATTATGAATTTTTAAAATAAAAAAATATTTTGGTCCATAATTCAAATAAGAGATTTACTTATTTTTAATATAATTATAAAAAAAATTACATGAACTTATGAAGTGATGATTAATAAAGTTTTTATTATTCTTTGATGATATGGATCCGAACCAAGATAACAATTCAAAAATTAATAATAGAAAATGAACTGATTTGAATATTCAATGGCATACATGCAAATTGAAAGAATTGTCCATCTAGCTCAGTTGATAGAACGCAAGGCTCTTAACCTTATGGTCGTGGGATTGAAGGCAATTCATAACGGAAGTCTTCCACGAAAGTTGCTCTCAACCTGACGTTGAGGACAGCCTACTATCCTACCTCCCCTTACCTCATTACATATGGTAATAGGGTCATCTAATTTTTTTATACATGCAAATTGAAGCATGCAACCAAAGAGAAAAATAGGCAAAGAGCAGAGCCTTAATTCATAGAGCAATACCAAGTGAAACTTAAGGTAAAAGATTGTGCAGGAGCCTGAGCCTAATCAATGTAAAAAAATACATTATAGTAGCAGAATTCAGAGACAAGCTGTTTTATTCCTGGGAATCTTAAAATATCAAATTTTATACAGGGAACATTTAAGACATAAAGTTGCATCCACTGTATTAAAGACTACCACTTAAAACCTTGATAATTTGGAAGATGATCACTTGATGAAGGTGATGGTGGGGGCGACAACCAAAGGATTCCTGCGAAGGTTCAATGCTTCAAAACATGGCTAGAGTATAACGGCAACTATCGCATATAATAACAAATTATCGATACTAAAGTGGGAATGAAGGCAAGAGCTAACACAAAATCAACACTCTTAGGGGATGCCGAAGAGGACACATTTGACTCCTAATCATTCACAAGTTTTTTCAGGTGAAGAAAGGATACCCTAGTCCAAGGTCAGGGTATACACCACCGACCTCATGTGGAGCTAAAAGTACTTACAATCGTCTACTAAATGAGATTGCGCACAAAACTCGAGCCTTAAGGCATCCACTAAATGAAATTGTTTAGGTGCCGAAAGGGGCTAGGCCAAGGTCAGGGTACCACCAGCCACATAGATGGTCGAGAGTGATACTTACAGGTCATCCACTAAATGAGACTCGAACCTTAATGTCATCCACTAAATGAAATTGTTAAGATGACGAAAGGTGCCAGTCCAAGAATAGGGCCACCACCAGCCACATAGATGGCCGAAAGTACTCACAAATCATTCACTAAACGAGATTCGAACCTTAAACGAGATTGTTGATTAGTCTCAAACCTTAATATTTGTCAAGGTGCTACTGAGCAGTCAATCAATTATGCCAATATATGTTGACACTCACAAACTCATATGGGTTCGATTTGAACCTTAATGCTTATCAAGGTGCCAACGCGTAATCAACCAACTGAATCAACCTATATCAATTTGAGCCAATAGTCAACCAATTAAATCAATCTATATTGGCTTGACACTAAACCAACCCATAGTTCAACATTTAGAAGTTCAAATTATACTAAAATCACCAAGTTCCAAATAATTTATATAACACCAAAATCAACAAAAACATCAAATAATGATAAAAATGAAAATACAGTGTTTGTCACCTTCAATTACTAATCGGACCGAGCTGCGAACCTCTCGCCTTCTTATCGGTCAAATTAAGGCCAACCATAGCCTCACCAAGCCCACAGCTAACATCAGCAAGCACGTCCGGGTCACTGTAATGAGTGACGGCCTGAACAATGGCCCGGGCACGCTTTGCCGGGTCACCGCTCTTGAAAACCCCAGAGCCCACAAACACTCCATCACAGCCCAACTGCATCATCAACGCTGCATCGGCCGGCGTCGCCACTCCACCTGCGGCGAACTGCACCACCGCAACCTCCCAAGCTGCTTCGTCTGCATAACCAAATCGTAGGGAGACTGGATTTCTTAGCGAAGGTGAAAACCTCGTCTTCATCCATGTTCCTAAGAACTCTAATATTGTTGGTATGCTCAATCCCACATAGTGTTGGAAACACTATGGGAATGGTATTTAAGGCTTGACATTCCATTTCCTTGTTGAGTGATAGAGAACAAGGGGGCTCTCGCGCACCGCCGCCGCCGTCCGTCCGTCTCGTCTCTCGGCTCGGCTCGGCTCGGCTCGGCTCGGCTCGGCTCGGCTCGTGGTCGTGGTCGTGGTCGTGGTCGTGGTCGTGGTCGTAATACGTGTTCGACACGTCCGCGCGATACTATCTTTTTAGAGAAAATTCTTGAGGAATTTCTCTTTGAAAGAAACAAATGGAAAATGTGAAAGATATCAACTGAGAATAAATATTGAAACACAAATAGAATATATTCCATCAACTTCTTCTAGTAAACTGCTAGGTCTTCTGAACAAATTGATTTTGAGCCTAGAAGAAGTAAAAGGCAAAGATTGAAACCTCTTTTGGACCAGACTTTATTACTTCCTTTATTTCTGAGATAAATGATTTAGACTTCATTTCAGATCCTATAGCTCAAATTTTTCTATTAGATGAGGATCCTAAAACTTTTGAAGAAGCTATAAGATCTATCGATGCTAGTTTTTGGAAAAGCGCTGTTAATGATGAACTAGAATCGATAAGTCTAATCATACTTGGGAATTAGTTGACTTGCCTAAGGGATTCAAACCAATCTCAACAAATGGGTCTTCCGGAAGAACTAAGGCCAGATGGTTCGATTCAGCGATACAAGGCAAGGTAGTCGTCAAAGGGTTCACTCAAAGGTTTGGTTTAGACTACTTTGATATACTCTCCGTTACAAAAATCTCAACGATTCGTGCATTATTGCACTAGCCCCTATTCATAAGTTGCAGGTACATCAAATGGATGTTAAGACTGCTTTCTGAATGGGGATCTAGATGAGGAGATTTACATGGAGCAGCCACTAGGTTGAGGCACCTGGTATGGAAGGCAAAGTTTGTAGACTCAAAAGTCACTCTATGGACTTAAGCAGGCTCCTAAACAGTGGTATGAGAAATTTCATAAAACTATTCTTAGTTTTGGTTTTGTTGTGAATGGTTCGGATGCTTGTGTGTATTCGAAGATGTTGAAACTGAATGTGTTATCATAAGTCTTTATGTGACGACATGTTGATTTTCAGTTCTAACATTGAGTCCATTAACAAAGTTAAAAATTTCTTGTCCACTAAGTTTGAGATGACAGATTTGGGAGAAGTAGATGTAATCTTAGGAGTCAAATTACCAAAACTGAGAAGGGATTCTTTATGTCAAGCACATTATATAGAGAAAGTGCTAAAGAAATTTGACAGTTTTGATGTCGTCCCTGTTCGAACTCCTTATGACCCTAGCATACATCTAGTTAAGAATAAAGGAAGTAGTGTTTCCCAAACTGAATATGCTAAATTAATCGGAAGTTTAATGTTCTTAATGAACTATACTCGGCCTGATATTGCTTATGCTGTGAGTAGACTAAGTAGATATACTCATAATCCGAGTGGTGAGCACTGGATTGCGCTTAAACGCTTACTGAAGTATCTTAAGGGTACTGTGAATTGGAAACTTGAGTTTGTTGGCTTTCCTGCGGTATTGGAAGGATATTGTGATGCCAACTGGGTTTCTGATAATGATGAGGTAAGCTCTACGAGCGGGTATGTTTTTACTTTGGGTGGAGCAGCGATCTCGTGGAAATCATCAAAGCAGACTTGTATTGCTCGTTCTACCATGGAGTCAGAGTTTATAGCTCTTGACCTAGCTGGGCAAGAAGCCGAGTGGCTCAGAAGCTTGTTAGCAGATATTCCGTTGTGGGGAAGACCGACTCCTCCAGTTTCATTGTTGTGTGATTCACAAGCTGCGATATGTGTGGCTAAGAACCAAGCTTACAATGGTAAGAAAAGACACATTCGCATAAGACATGAATCAGTTAGACACTTGATAAAGAATGGAGTGCTCTTTTAGAGTATGTGAAGTCGGAAAGGAACCTAGCAGATCCACTTACCAAAGGGTTAAGTCGGAAGCTGGTCCTAGATTCGTCGAGGGGATGGGTCTAAAGCCCATTGGTTGAGGAATTCATGGTGGATACCCAACTTAGTTATCTAAGTTCCATGTGGTCAACGAAACCATGGAAAGACTCATAGTGCACATTCCTACTGCCTATCCCTATGATGAATAATGTCATGCCCAGGATGAGCTTAATTGCTCTTAATAAATTCATAGCCCAGGCTTTGGGTGGTCTTAGTGAGAAAGACTTGATGAATTTACCGATTTTGGCTGAATATCTATTCTTAATAGTTCATAACCCAGAGTGAGTGGGTAGGAAATGATGAACTTACCGACAGAAAGGTTGAGTTGTTAAACTCTTAATAAATTCAAATCCAAGTATTTGGATGGTTCTAGTGAGAAGGACTTATTGAATTTACCGATAAATGAGGTTGAATATTTATTCTTAATGACTTCTTAGCCCAGAGTTTGGGTGGTTCATTTATAATGAACTTGAAAAAAGTCACCATACCCTTTGTGAGGTTGAGCTATTATAAAAGCTCTTAATTATTCCATATTCCTTTTTAAAGGGTGGTTTATGTTGAGATAAACTTGATGAAATAACCTATGTAAGTGAGAAGGGTTAGCCGCCTTCTATGAAAAATGTTGGGCTATTTTTCTAGCACACTTACTAGAATCCTGAGGTAAGATGGCCAAATATATACTTTGTATATATATATCTTACACATCGAGGACTCAGGTGGATGAAGGGGTTAGTTGTGTGTTATGAGTTTACCCTGATCTTAGAAAGTTCCAGACTAGTTTCACTTATCTAAGAGAAGGATTGCTCATCATCACTATGTACTAGTTCCAGATATGTTCACTAGTGCTTAAGCAACTAATCTCGCTATTACTCTTCTGGAAAGCTTGTTTTCGAGTTTCAGAAGATTTCTTTCGCATTAGTGGGGGAATGTTGGTAATGCTCAATCCCACATAGTGTTGGAAACACTATTGGGAATGGTATTTAAGGCTTGACATTCCATTTCCTTGTTGAGTGATAGAGAACAAGGGGGGCTCTCGCGCACCGCCGCCGCCGTCCGTCCGTCTCGTCTCGGCTCGGCACGGCACGGCTCGGCTCGGCTCGGCTTGGCTCGTGGTCGTGGTCGTGGTCGAGGTCGAGGTCGTGGTCGTGGTCGTGGTCGTGGTCGTGGTAATACGTGTCTTCGACACGTCCGCGCGGATACTATCTTTTTAGAGAAAATTCTTGAGGAATTTCTCTTTGAAAGAAACAAATGGAAAATGTGAAAGATATCAACTGATATTTATAGGCTGCTGAGGACTGTTTGAATTTCAAATAATAACAGCTGAATTATTTTTTTATCAGAAATTAAACAGTTTATTCCTAAATTAAATCAGAAACGTTAAGATGTACCTGGACTGATTACAGCTTTGTACAGAGGAGACAAGCTGTTATCAGGAGTTACAGGAGTTATTGATTTAATTCCAGGGGTTACATGATATAATTTCGGGAGTTATAACAGCTGAATAATGATACAATGAACCTGGACTATTTCTGAGTCAGATTCATCTAGTCGTTTCAGCTGTTACAAATAAGAGGTTTAATCCTGAAATTTTATGGACGACTTTAACCCTATTTCTAGCCTATAAATAGAGAGCTATATTCAGCTTCTCAACTAACTCCAAAAACATTCACAATTCACTTACCAAAGTGTTTTCTAAAGTTCTCTCTGTGAGTTCTCTCTGAGTGCTTTCCGATCAGAAGTGCAATACCACCAGCAGTCCACTCCGGTTTCGGGTGTACGGAATTCGGAGCGACCGTGTTAACCTCGGGGGACGGTCGCCTACTGCAGCGATTACACACATCGAGGCGAATTCGTTTCTAAGGCAGTGGTTCTTACCACGACACGGTTACGAATCTGTTCTTCTTAATTACTGTTTATATTTTCAGTCAGTGCTAACGGTGTACTTTTGCAGTTCATATATCCAACAATTTAGAAACGAATTCCCATAAACTGCAATCATGTCGACACCTTTGAGCAAACTCATTCCCGATCTTTCCAAGCTTGATGCACTTGATGGAAAGAACTATAGAAGGTGGTCCCAAAGAATTCTTATATTCTTCGAGCAACTTGATCTGATTACTGTTTGCTCAAGCCACCACCTACCATGCCGCCAACCCCAGCTGTTGGTAATGATGCGGATGCGGTCCTCAATGATGATGCCTTAGCAACTGCCGCTGCCGCTCTCGCTACCTACGAGAAAATTTGAGAAGGATAACAAGACGGTACGAGGACATCTACTCAGCCACATGTCAATAAACTATTTGATATGTTCCTTAGAGAAAGAGTGCCAAGGCAATATGGGACACTCTCGACAAGAAGTATGGTGCGGATGATGCGGGGATCAAGAAGTACGTTGTCGGCGAATGGCTCAAATTCCAGATGACAGACGACAAGCCAATAATGGATCAAGTCCATGACTATGAGAACTTAGTCGCTGACATCATCGCTGAAGGGATGCAAATGTGTGAGGTGCAAGCCAATGTACTCATTGAGAAACTGCCCAAGTCCTGGTCCGATTACCGTAACTCTCTTAAGCATAAGAAGAGAGACATTTCGCTTGAAGAACTTGTGGGCCATATGAAGATTGAAGAAGCCAACCGTTTAAAAGATAAGCTTACTAATTCTATGAGTAATTTATCTTTTAGAGCTAACTGGTTGAGTCCAAATTTAAGAAGATCATGAAACGTGGGAATCAAGACAAAAAGACGAAACCACAGAAGGCTACCAACTTCAAGAAGTCAGGAAAGGCCAAACCGGAAGGAAAGACGTTCAAGTGTTATGTCTGCGGTTTACCTGGCCACAAGGCTTACCAATGCCAACACGCTCAGACCGCCAGAATGACAACAAGCCACAGATGCACGTTGTAGAAGAAGATGATGAGATCATTGCTGCGGTGGTCTCAGAAGTAATCTGGTGGAGAACAGTTCAGAATGGGTAGTTGACACTGGCGCTTCGAAGCATTTCTACGCAAGGAAGGAGTTTTTCACTGAGTTCGAGGATGGAAACACTGGTGAACGTGTGTACATGGGAACTCTAGCAGCTCTGAAGTGCTAGGCAAAGGCAAGGTTTTACTCAAGCTGACTTCTGGTAAAACTCTGGCTTTAAATAATGTTCTGTATGTACCTGCCTTGCGTAGAATTTGATAAGTGGTGGGCTTCTGAATAAGGCAGGCATTAAGTTAGTTTTGAGGCAGATAAACTTGTACTTTCCCGAAATGGTGATTATGTGGGGAAAGGGTTTTTAAGCAATGGTTTATTTGTCATAGAAACTCAATTTAATGAAAATAAAGCTACCACTTCTGCTTATATTGTTGAATCAATTGATATGTGGCATGCTAGATTAGGACACGTGAATATTCATGCTTTAAAGAAATTAATAAATATGAATGTTCTGCCTAAACTAGACACAACTAGCTTAACAAATGTGAGATTTGTGTAGAAGCTAAGCATACTAAACCTCACTTTAAGACTGTTTCTAATAGAAAGACTGAACTGTTAGAACTCATTCATACTGATCTAGCAGATTTTAGAAACACTGAAAGTAAAGGAGGAAAACACTACTACATAACTTTTGTAGATGATTATTCAAGATATACAAAAGTTTATCTCCTAAGAACTAAAGATGAAGCTGAAAACTTCTTTCTTATTTATAAGGCAGAAGTTGAAAATCAGTTAGATAGGAGAATCAAACGAGTTAGATCTGATAGAGGTGGTGAATATGGATCTAATTTCTTAAAAGATTTGTGAAAAGAATGGCATAATTCATGAAACATCAGCCCCCTATTTTCCTCAACAGAATGGTATAGCGAAAGGAAAAATAGAACTTTAAAAGAGATGATGAATTCTTTACTAATAAGCTCCGGGTTATCTGATAACATGTGGGGGGAGGCCATTCTATCGGCAACTCATATCTTGAACCGAGTTCCTCATAAGAAATTAGATTCTACCCCATATGAATTGTGGAAAGGATACGCTCTAATTTACAATACCTGAAAGTGTGGGGGTGTCTGGCTAAAGTGGGCTTGCCAGACTTTAAGAAGTCCACCATCGGACCTAAAAACCGTTGATGCAGTGTTTATAGGGTATGCTACGATAGTGCTGCATACAGATTCATGCTTTTACAAGATTATTCTATTTGTGAATCAAGAGATGCTGTTTTCTTTGAAAATACTTTTCCTTTAAAGGAACCGAGAATAAATATTGAAACACAAATAGAATATATTCCATCAACTTCTTCTAGTAAACCTGCTAGGTCTTCTGAACAAATTGATTTTGAGCCTAGAAGAAGTAAAAGGCAAAGAGTTGAAACCTCTTTTGGACCAGACTTTATTACTTCCTTTATTTCTGAGATAAATGATTTAGACTTCATTTCAGATCCTATAGCTCAAATTTTTCTATTAGATGAGGATCCTAAACTTTTGAAGAAGCTATAAGATCTATCGATGCTAGTTTTTGGAAAAGCGCTGTTAATGATGAACTAGAATCGATAATGTCTAATCATACTTGGGAATTAGTTGACTTGCCTAAGGGATTCAAACCAATCTCCAACAAATGGGTCTTCCGGAAGAAAACTAAGGCCAGATGGTTCGATTCAGCGATACAAGGCAAGGTTAGTCGTCAAAGGGTTCACTCAAAGGTTTGGTTTAGACTACTTGATACATACTCTCCCGTTACAAAAATCTCAACGATTCGTGCATTATTTGCACTAGCCTCTATTCATAAGTTGCAGGTACATCAAATGGATGTTAAGACTGCTTTCTTGAATGGGGATCTAGATGAGGAGATTTACATGGAGCAGCCACTAGGTTTTGAGGCACCTGGTATGGAAGGCAAAGTTGTAGACTCAAAAAGTCACTCTATGGACTTAAGCAGGCTCCTAAACAGTGGTATGAGAAATTTCATAAAACTATTCTTAGTTTTGGTTTTGTTGTGAATGGTTCGGATGCTTGTGTGTATTCGAAGATGTTTGAAACTGAATGTGTTATCATAAGTCTTTATGTTGACGACATGTTGATTTTCAGTTCTAACATTGAGTCCATTAACAAAGTTAAAATTTCTTGTCCACTAAGTTTGAGATGACAGATTTGGGAGAAGTAGATGTAATCTTAGGAGTCAAAATTACCAAAACTGAGAAGGGATTTTCTTTATGTCAAGCACATTATATAGAGAAAGTGCTAAAGAAATTTGACAGTTTTGATGTCGTCCCTGTTCGAACTCCTTATGACCCTAGCATACATCTAGTTAAGAATAAAGGAAGTAGTGTTTCCCAAACTGAATATGCTAAATTAATCGGAAGTTTAATGTTCTTAATGAACTATACTCGGCCTGATATTGCTTATGCTGTGAGTAGACTAAGTAGATATACTCATAATCCGAGTGGTGAGCACTGGATTGCGCTTAAACGCTTACTGAAGTATCTTAAGGGTACTGTGAATTGGAAACTTGAGTTTGTTGGCTTTCTTGCGGTATTGGAAGGATATTGTGATGCCAACTGGGTTTTGATAATGATGAGGTAAGCTCTACGAGCGGGTATGTTTTTACTTTGGGTGGAGCAGCGATCTCGTGGAAATCATCAAAGCAGACTTGTATTGCTCGTTCTACCATGGAGTCAGTTTATAGCTCTTGACCTAGCTGGGCAAGAAGCCGAGTGGCTCAGAAGCTTGTTAGCAGATATTCCGTTGTGGGAAGACCGACTCCTCCAGTTTCATTGTTGTGTGATTCACAAGCTGCGATATGTGTGGCTAAGAACCAAGCTTACAATGGTAAGAAAAGACACATTCGCATAAGACATGAATCAGTTAGACACTGATAAAGAATGGAGTGCTCTCTTTAGAGTATGTGAAGTCGGAAAGGAACCTAGCAGATCCACTTACCAAAGGGTTAAGTCGGAAGCTGGTCCTAGATTCGTCGAGGGGGATGGGTCTAAAGCCCATTGGTTGAGGAATTCATGGTGGATACCCAACTTAGTTATCTAAGTTCCATGTGGTCAAACGAAACCATGGAAAGACTCATAGTGCACATTCCTACTGCCTATCCCTATGATGAATAATGTGCATGCCCAGGATGAGCTTAATTGCTCTTAATAAATTCATAGCCCAGGCTTTGGGTGGTCTTAGTGAGAAAGACTTGATGAATTTACCGATTTTGGCTGAATATCTATTCTTAATAAGTTCATAACCCAGAGTGAGTGGGTAGGAAATGATGAACTTACCGACAGAAAGGTTGAGTTTGTTAAACTCTTAATAAATTCAAATCCAGTATTTGGATGGTTCTAGTGAGAAGAACTTATTGAATTTACCGATAAATGAGGTTGAATATTTATTCTTAATGACTTCTTAGCCAGAGTTTGGGTGGTTCATTTATAATGAACTTGAAAAAAGTCACCATACCTTTGTGAGGTTGAGCTATTATAAAAGCTCTTAATTATTTCATATTCCTTTTTAAAGGGTGGTTTATGTTGAGATAAACTTGATGAAATAACCTATGTAAGTGAGAAGGGTTAGCCGCCTTCTATGAAAAATGTTGGGCTATTTTTCTAGCACACTTACTAGAATCCTGAGGTAAGATGGCCAAATATATACTTTGTATATATATCTTACACATCGAGGACTCAGGTGGATGAAGGGGTTAGTTGTGTGTTATAGTTTACCCTGATCTTAGAAAGTTCCAGACTAGTTTCACTTATCTAAGAGAAGGATTGCTCATCATCACTATGTACTAGTTCCAGATATGTTCACTAGTGCTTAAGCAACTAATCTCGCTATTACTCTTCTGGAAAGCTTGTTTTCGAGTTTCAGAAGATTTCTTTCGCATTAGTGGGGGAATGTTGGTAATGCTCAATCCCACATAGTGTTGGAAACACTATTGGGAATGGTATTTAAGGCTTGACATTCCATTTCCTTGTTGAGTGATAGAGAACAAGGGGGGCTCTCGCGCACCGCCGCCGCCGTCCGTCCGTCTCGTCTCGGCTCGGCACGGCACGGCTCGGCTCGGCTCGGCTTGGCTCGTGGTCGTGGTCGAGGTCGAGGTCGTGGTCGTGGTCGTGGTCGTGGTCGTGGTAATACGTGTCTTCGACACGTCCGCGCGGATACTATCTTTTTAGAGAAAATTCTTGAGGATTTCTCTTTGAAAGAAACAAATGGAAAATGTGAAAGATATCAACTGATATTTATAGGCTGCTGAGGACTGTTTGAATTTCAAATAATAACAGCTGAATTATTTTTTATCAGAAATTAAACAGTTTATTCCTAAATTAAATCAGAAACGTTAAGATGTACCTGGACTGATTTACAGCTTTGTACAGAGGAGACAAGCTGTTAATATCAGGAGTTACAGGAGTTATTTGATTTAATTCCAGGGGTTACATGATATAATTTCGGGAGTTATAACAGCTGAATAATGATACAATGAACCTGGACTATTTCTGAGTCAGATTCATCTAGTCGTTTCAGCTGTTACAAATAAGAGGTTTAATCCTGAAATTTTATGGACGACTTTAACCCTATTTCTAGCCTATAAATAGAGAGCTATATTCAGCTTCTCAACTAACTCCAAAAACATTCACAATTCACTTACCAAAGTGTTTTCTAAAGTTCTCTCTGTGAGTTCTCTCTGAGTGCTTTCCGATCAGAAGTGCAATACCACCAGCAGTCCACTCCGGTTTCGGGTGTACGGAATTCGGAGCGACCGTGTTAACCTCGGGGGACGGTCCGCCTACTGCAGCGATTACACACATCGAGGCGAATTCGTTTCTAAGGCAGTGGTTCTTACCACGACACGGTTTACGAATCTGTTCTTCTTAATTACTGTTTATATTTTCAGTCAGTGCTAACGGTGTACTTTTGCAGTTCATATATCCAACAAATATCACCCATCACGGATCTGACGTGCCTAACGGCTTCGATGATATTCCCAGTCCCGGCTTCACCTTTGGTCCGAATCATCGCAGCTCCTTCTCTGATTCTCCGAAGCGCTTCCCCCAAATTCCGGCACCCACAAACGAAAGGAATTCGGAAATTGTGTTTGTTAATGTGGTTTTCTTCGTCGGCAAGAGTGAGAACCTCGCTCTCATCCACATAATCGATGCCAATGGCTTCAAGGATCTGGGCCTCGACGAAATGACCGATACGAGCTTTAGCCATGACGGGGATGGTCACAGCCTGCTTGATTTCCTTGATGAGTTGCGGGTCACTCATCCGCGCCACGCCGCCTTGAGCTCGGATATCGGCGGGGACTCGTTCAAGAGCCATGACGGCGCAAGCTCCGGCTTCTTCGGCGATTCGAGCTTGTTCGGCGTTGACGACGTCCATAATCACCCCGCCTCGGAGCATTTGCGCAAGCCCGACCTTGACCGAGAAAGGGGATTTGTGGGTCTCAGTCATAGAACCATTTCCATAAACAGCACCCACCCCATTGCCGGCCATGGCAGTACAAATGAAAAAGGATCAGTGACGGCGAGAGATTGAAGAGATGTTGAATGGAAATGGGACGATGGACAAAGAATGCAGGTGAAGGTTTAAATAATGAGATAAAAGGTAATGGATGGACCCATAGATATTGTGGGTTGAACTTGGAGGCCACGCAATTTATGGGTATGCGCAGCCAGTCATTTGTTGAGTATAGTGGCAGAGCCAGTAATGCCGCCAATGTTCTGCATTTTGCCACCACCATTCTTTTTCCCAGCCGTTCAATTTTTGCCGCTAATTAATTAATTGATTAATTCCAATGACAATTTATTTTGAAACAGGCAATGGGGCCAGTGTTAAAAATGAGACCAAGCATATTGTGAATTATTTGAGGTAGATTCGATTAAAATTTAATTAATACTTAAATTACATAGGTTGAGTTGAATGAGTTATTTGATATTTGATTAAAGAAATTCATGAACAACTAAAATAAATATATTAAAATTTTGTTTTTTTAATATTTATATGTTGTTGTTTTTCAATATAATATAAATTTTTTACGTATTTAAGGTTTAAATTCAAGTTTAAGTTCAAACTAAAATCGAACTCAAGATCAAGTTTCAATCAAATTAAATATGAGAATATATCAAATTCAAGTTTTCTCAAAATCAAATTCAACTTCAATATTTTTATTTTAAGTTCGAGTTAAACTTATCAACTTTTAACTAGTGGGGGGTGAGGTTAAATAGAGAGATTTTGCACATTTCTATGTTAATGTGAATTATTTAAATTAATTGAGCTTTATAAAATATATATTTGATATATAAATTAAATAAAATAAGATTTGAAAATATATATATTCATTTGATGCACGAATCAAACGATCTTAATGGTTAAATGATCTATTATTATTTCTTGAGTTCTCAAGTTTAAGCACTACAAATGCAGAAGTATAAACATTCATTGTCAAATAATTGATAATTTTTGAATAGATACTATTTTATATTCACTCCAGATTTATTAACAACAAAAAAAACACCTTAGATTACATCAACAACTATTACACTTAGTTAATTTTGATATCGAGTTTCTAGAAATAAAATCAGTGGTGGATCATAATTTTCTTGGGATGAGTATCAAAATCTAAATTTACTTTTGTTGATTATTTATTTTAATAGTAGTGATCATTCTAAAATCCCATACATATGGGAATTGAGTTTTGTTGTTGTTGTTATTGTTATTGTTGATCATTCTAAAATTTTAATTGTGTCTATTTCATTTAAAATATTCTTACTGTTAACATATATGTAGTGTTTTGAAAATCGGACTGGATCGGTCGGTTCAACCAAGAATCGTTGTCTTGTCCGATCCATTCTATCTGGTTGAATCGGTTCTAGTGAACCGCAAGAAATCGTTCAAACCGACTTTGAACCGCTCGAACCGGACCGAACTGTGAACCGGTTCAACCTAATTTTTTTTATTAAATGTTTTTAGTATTTTTATTTAATTTTTTAAATAATTATGACGTCGTCCGGTTCTTACGACCTGTCTGACCGTTTCGACCGGTTGAACCAATAAATCGGTAGCACAGTCGATTTATTGACCGATTCGATTCTGAAAACCATGCATATATGCCCCTATTTTAAAAAATATTTTTAAATTCATTATTAAATAAAACAAATAGGAAAAGCGGAGGGAAAGTGTGGTTACACTTGTGTTCTTCAATCGTCAAATACTTGAGATCTTTGGTGTTTTTACCCAAAATTCACTCAACTATTAAATAATTACCTTTCAGGCATCCATCGTCCTAATTTTATCGATCTAACACCCTTTGTGACAACTTGGCAAAAAGGCGTAAATTACCATCTGCGTATTCCTGAGGTTCGTCCGAGCTGAAGCCACGTAGGGATAAAACGCATATCACTATCCACACTTTCCTGGGATTTTGACAAGTGATCCGACCCTTCCAAAATCACTCTCAACCGTTCGCCTTAATTACCTCGTCCCCTCCCCTATAAATACCCTCTCATACAACCCTCAAATCACACCAAAACAAAAATAATCTCTTCTTATCAATCATTCTACAAAGCTCAAGTAGGAAGTAGGTTATGTTATTATTCTTATAAGGTAAAATTATTGTTATTATATTATAATCATTAAATAGTTAATTAATTTATTATATTTTAGTACGTAATTTTTTTTGTCTTTTGTAATTATAAAATGGAAGGCAGATTGTTGCATTTAGATGAGATATCGCGAGTCATTTTATCGATGCAATAATAATTTATTTAATTTGTATTAGTTTTATTATTGTGTTATGTTAATTATTGTGAATATTTTATTTATTTATTTATTTAGTATTAGTTTAAATTTTAATTTGTATACTTTTTTTTTAATTAGGGGAATGATCGTATATTATACCCATTTATTCTTAAGGCTATGTTAGAGATATCAAGTCGTGTATGACTGTATTTAGTGGAAGTTGGATTTGATTACATATTTAGATATGAAGGACATTGTAACCTTGAAAGCAATCTTATTTTTGCACCGGTCGAGAGGTGGAGACCAGAGACACACACGTTCCATCTTTCGTGTGGGGAGTGTACGATTATGCTAGATGATGTTTTCTTACATCTGAGGCTGTTGGTAGATGGGGATGTCATTTTGGGTGTGGCGGATGGTGAGTGACGTTCGTTGTGTGAGGAGTACCTTAGAGGTATCATACATGATTTCAATGGTGGTCGAATATCGTTATCATGGTTGGCGACATATGTTGAACATTTGAGTGAACCTTAGAGTTGCCCGAACTTGCATATTACAACTGATAGGAGGGATCATGATGCCCGATAAATCTAGCAACAAAGTTCATTGTATGTGGTTGCGTCACCTCGCTTGATTTTCGAGTTGCCGGCTCATTCAGTTGAGGCTGCGCAGTTTTGACATCTCTGTATAGAGAAATGTGTCGAGTAACTGATTATCGAAAAAATGTTATCGACAGATGTCTCATGCTTCTGCAGTCATAAGCGTGATATCGCATGCACTTTTTATGTCTGGTGGTGAAGAACCCGTTAATCTTCCCGTAATTGGTGAGGTAATTTCAATAATGAATTCGTATATAAATAGTTTTTTTGAGTATAATGAATGTTTTTTATACTGAATAGGTGGTCATGTGTAAAGAAAGATCATCGTCATATACCAAGCGAATTAGAAGAAATTTGATTGTTCATTGATCAAAAATCTGGTACACGGGTATGTATTTAAATTTTTTTATTTACATTTAATTATCGTTATATAATTAAAATAATTATATATATTTATTGTAGTTTTAATGAATTCTTTATGCTACTGACGAATTAAGACATTATATCCCATCTAATATGAGTGGCCTGTATGTCCATCTGATATTTAGATCATTTCCATAAACAGCAACCACCCCAGTGCCGGCAATGACAATACAAATGAAAAAGGAACAGTGACGGCGAGAGATTGAAGAGATGTTGAATGGAAATGGGACGGTGGACATTGAATGCAGGTGAAGGTTTAAATAAGGAGATAAAAGGTTATGGATGGACCCATAGATATTGTGGGTTGAACTTGGAGGCCACGCAATTTATGGGTATGCGCAGCCAGTCATTTGTTGATTATAGTGGCAGAGCCAGTAGTGCCGCCAATGTTCTGCGTTTTCCCACCACCATCCTTATTCCCAGCCGTTCGATTTTTGCCGCTAATTAATTAATTAATTGATTAATACCAATGACAATTTCTTTTGAAAGAGACAATGGGGGCAGTGTTAAAAATGAGATCAAACATATTGTGAATTATTCGAGGTAGATTCGATTAAAATTTAATTAATACATAAATAAGATAAATTGACTCGAGTTTATAAATGAGTTATTTGATATTTGATTAAAAAATCATGAACAAGTAAAATAGATATATTAATTTTTTTTAATATTTATATGTTGTTGTTTTTCAATATAATATAAGGTTTTTACGTACTTAAGGTTTAGATTCGAGTTTGAATTAAAAGTGGAATCGAGCTCAAGTTCAAGTTTCAATCAAATTAAATATTAGAATATATCAAATTCAAGTTTTCTCAAGATCAAATTAAAATTCAATTTTTTATTTTGAGTTCGAGTCAAATTTAACAACTTTAAACTTACCACCTTTCAACCAGTGGGGGTTGAGGCCAAATAAAGTGTTTTTGCACATTTCTATGTTAATGTGAATTATTTAAATTAATTGTGTTTTACTAACATATATATTTGATATATAAATTAAATAAAAATAAGATTTGTAAATATGTATATATTTAAATATAATTCGATGCACAAATTAAACGACTTTAATGGTTAAATGATATATTATTATTTCTTGAGGTCTCAAGTTTGAGCACCACGGATGTAGGAGTATGAATATTCATTGTCAAATAATTTATTTTTTTGAATATATACTATTTTATATTCACTTCAGATTTATCAACAAAAAAATAAAAAACAAAAAATCACCTCAAATTACATGAACAACTATTATGCTTAGTAAATTTTGGCATTGAGTTTTTAGAAGTAAAATCAGTAGTGGATCATAATTTTCTTAGAATGGGTATAGAATCTAAATTTACTTTGTTGATTATTTATTTTAATAATAGTGATCACTCTAAAATTTTATTTGTGTCTATTTTATTTAAAACATTTTTACTATTAACATATATGCTCCTGTTTTAAAAAATATTTTAAAATTTGTTATTAAATAAAACAAATAGTAAAAGGGGAGGGAAAGTGTGGTTAAACTTGTGTTCTTCAATCGTCAAATGCTGAGATCCTTGGTGTTTTTACCAAAAAAATCACACAACCATTAAATAATTACTTGTTAGGCACGCATCGCCCTAATTTTATCGATCTAACACCCTTTCTAGCAGTGTGGCAAAAAGGAGTGGATCATCATCCGTGCCTTCTTGGGGTTTGTCCGTGCTGGCGCCACGTAGGGGTAAAGCGCAGATTACTATCAGCGCTTTCCTGGGGTTCTGACACGTGACTAAGGCGCGGATAGTGAATTACCCTCAACCGTTCACCTTAATTAGAGATATCAAGTCGTGTATGGTCATATTTAATAGAGGCTGGATTCGATTACATAGCTAGATATGAAGGGCATTGTAACCTTGAAAATAATCTTATTTCTGCACTGGTCTAGAGGTGGAGACCGGAGACACACATATTCCATCTTCCGTGTGGGGAGTGTACAATTACGCTGGATGATGTTTCCTTACATCTGGGGCTACTGGTAGATGGGGATGTCATTTCGGGTGTGGCGGATGGTGACTGGCGTTCGTTGCGTGAGGAGTATCTTTGAGGTATCTCGCCTGATTTCAATAGTGGTCGAATACCATTATCATGGTTGGCGACATATGTTGAACATTTGAGTGAAGAATGTTCCGAGGAATAGACTAAAAGTGTTATACGAGCTTGCATATTACGACTGATAAGAGCAATCTTGATGCCCGATAAATTTCGCAACCAAGTTCATTGTATGTGGTTGTGTTACATCGTCGAATTTCGAGTTGTCGGATCATTCAGTTGGGGCTCCGTAATTTTGGCATCTCTGTATAGAGAAATGTGCCGAGCAACTGATTATTGGAAAAATACTATCGACGGATGTCTCCTACTTCTGCAGCCATTAGTGTAGTATTGCATGCCTTTTTTATGTCAGGCGATAAAGAACCCGTTAGTCTTCCTGTTATTGCTGAGGTAATTTCAATACTGAGTTCGTATATAAATAATTGTTTGAGTGTATAATGAATATTTTTTTACACTGAATAGCTGGTCATGTGTAAGGAAAGATCATCATGATATATTAGACGAATTAGAAGAAATTCGACTACTCATTGGTCAAAAGGTTGATCCACAGGTATGTATTTAAATTTTATTATTTACCTTTAATTATCGTTATATAATTAAAATAATATTTTGAAAAGAATTATATATATTTGTTGTAGTTTCAATGGACTCCTTATGCTACTAACGAAATGAGGCATTGTATCCCACCTAATATGAGTGGACTACTAGATGTATGAATGACGGTGGTCCCTCTAATATGTTATACTATTATCGAGCAACATCCGACTGATCGTGTGCTCCGACAATTTGGTTTCGTAAAATCTATTCCAGAAAAACCTATGAATCTCGACAATTTTCATAGCATCGATAGACGAGGAAAAAGAAGAAGTGAACTGCATGATGAAACACATCGAGTGGATGATGATATGAGAGGATCGACATGGATGCATTCCCCTTAGGGAGTCGATTTACATGGATTAATATTCTGTTACATATGACTACTACCAGTGATTCAACACAAACAATAAGTCATTCTTGCTTTTCGAGGAAACACGAGCTCAAAGCATTCATCGACATCAAGAAATGCATCCACTTCACAGCTGCATCATCCCTGACTCATGGACAAAGAGCAGGCGCTTCCGGTTCATCTTTAGTTGGAGCATAGGAACCATCACAGTAGCTACTGTCTATATCGGGTTACATTTTTCAACCGTTCCAAATGAGGATGCAACCATTTCAGATGGCTCCACAACTATTTCAGATGCCACCACAGCAACTTCTAATACCATCACCGCAGGGTTTTATGACCCCTCCAGGCGGATATTATAGTTCCATGCTTGTTGATCCAGCGTGAGCTTCATATGCTGCTTATTTGGCTAGTGATGTGCCATCACATACTCAAGACACCTCCGACCTAGTTTTCGTATTCATTGATGTCTATGTTTTCATAGTTTTCACAGTTTTCTATGAGCAGTGGGATGGTTAATCATACACATCAAGGGTCTTTATTCTATGAAGGTGCTACATCGTCATCCGTTCCTGATGAACAAAATGTACATGCTACTGATGATGATGATGATGAGAGTTAGGAGGAATAACAATTTATACAAAGAAACCCTCATCAAAATAGACAATCACCACCTTGTGGAACACATTCAAGACGCATACATCGATAGATTTGTTTACATTGTAATGTTTTTATTTAGTTTTCTTTATTTAATAACAAATGTAATATTTTTATATAATAACAGTTTCTTTATTTATTGTGTCTATTAATTAATTTGTTGAATTATTTTTATTATTTAATTTATCCAATTTTTGTACTTAATCTTCACTTGAGTAGCCCATTACTTGAACGTAAACGAAAATGAAATAACATAAACTGATATTAAAAAAACAATTTCATCGACACAACATCAATGTTATATGATGATAAAAGATATTAGCATTTTTTCTATTATGGTCTAGGTTTATACAATGCTCACATCTTTTGTTTTCTTTGGACGTCTCTCGAATATCCATATCACAGTAAATTCGAGTGGATTTTGGATGACATGGTTCCCTTAATAAGGACAGATTTGGTATAATTGGAAGCTAATTCTGAACATCGTCTAGGTCTTTCTCATTACCTATGGGGGAACTCAAATTCATATACCTTAAATACTTTTGAAAGTCAGTATATGAGATCCACAAAACGGTTAAAGTCTTGACAGGTATAAGAACAAGCTTCTATAACATGGGAACATGGATACTTCAGAGTTTGAAAAAAACCAACAGTCACAGCACATGTCTTGTAGATTAACTATGAACAAGTTAGCTTCAATCCCTTGAAGTGGTCGTGACATTTTTGTGACACGAAATAATTCATGGGTTCGAGAGAAGCTAGTTACAAACATTTAATTTTAAGCAATAATTCTTTTTTGAAGATCCACAACTAATCTTGGTTGATAAACATGACCGTTTTGCATCCAAGTTTGAGCTTGTCCACCGAATTTGGAAAAAGTGCTCCCAAACGAAAATACGTTGGTAAATGACACGCTGCCCCCTTTAAGGTCGAATTGATAGCCTTAGCCAAGTTAGTCGTCATGTGTCCATATCGATATCAACCATCATATGTATTTATCCACATTTCTTTGTTGATGAGACTAATATAATTGTATCATTGCTTGTTTTTCCTCATAATTCTTGAAGCATGGACTTAAATGTCTGAGGTAGTAGTTTGTAACCTGAGCGATTTATGTAGTACTTACTATTAAGTTTCCATAAAAAAAGAAAATTCTATAGAAATAAAATTAAGAAATATGACATACTCATGCGCACAAGTAATTGGTGTTTATCATTCTTCTTGAACTTTCCATGATAGTTCGTGGCAATATATCGGATATAGTATCGATGTTGGACATAGGGTGCACTACATCAAAACTGTTCTATATCGGCGTTTCTATTCCAAATGCCACAAAATGGTAAATTTAGCGGCGTTTATATACAAACTTCGTAATAAGGTTCATCTATAGTAGCGTTTTTCAACAAATGCCACAATAGAGTAGTACTTTAGCGGTATTTTTATATAAACGCCACAAAAGAAAATATATATAGCTGTGTTTTTCAACAACGCTACTAAATAACTT